CCCCCCCCCCCCCCCCCCCCATTCAATGAGGGAAAGAGTTAAGAAGAGTTGGTTGTGACTCACATGAGCTCCACAGAAAACGCCGAATTCCTCCGTCACGCGTAAACACTGCATGAGAAGCCTTTTGAGTTTCTTCGGGCTGAATTCGTGCAGCTCCATTATGGAAAGAAAGACCTCCTTGCGAATTTGCTTGTTGCTATCCAAGAGGGCCTCCAAGTCGATATAATCATCCCGAACTGATAAACTAGGCAAAAGCCTAAAAAGGAAAGCAATCACTAGACACACTCAACGACAATACTTTTCAACTGGAAACGCAATTGTTCCCCTCCCCTCCCCCCCCCCCCCCCCCCCAAGCCATTCCATAATAGCACTTTTGAGCCATTTCAGCCAATTGTCTACTCGTACTCTCCTCTTTGAGCCTGAGTACTCGTAGCTTTTATACACGACAGTTGAGGGAATAACGTGCCCGTCTGAGATCACAGTTCGATGCACATCACTAGACCAACCACATTAGTCAAGTCTGTTTAATAAGAAATGGCAACCAAACGGCTCCTCAAAATCACCCTTCCATGTTTAGTAGTACGGAGCTTTTGTGAATTGCCGATCACATTTCGATCAGTTTTCAAAGCAAGTGCAATGAGTGGAGATTGACTTTCTTCTGCCATTGAATGAACAAAAACGACATTTGAAAATAATTGAAATTCTCCTTTCTCGAAAGTACATCTTCCACAATACTTCTACTTTCAATACGAATACTAAGCTCAAAATAGCATACTAAGGCCTCAAGGAACACTTGGTCGCAAAGAGCACAAGCATGTTCCCTGCCCACATCATCTACTCACATGGGGTGTACGATAGACTTACCTCCACGTGGTGCACCCGGAGCAACGTATACTCATACAGCAAAAAGTCTATTAACCGACAGTTGACTTTTCACTTCAAACTACCATGACCCAACTGTATGTCATATTCCACCGCTTCCACAGTACTCACCACCCCTTAACTTTCTCTTTACCCTCGTGTCTGTCTCTTTTACATCTGTGGACCACTCTTCGGTTCCCACCCTCCCTACTTGAAGCCCGGAGTCAACTAAAGAACTAATGCTAACCACCACAAAGCCTGCCATTTGCTATAAATAAATAAATATTCAATTTAAAAGAGCATTTTTCATTTTCCATTTGCCTAGTATGATCATCCATGTTTTTGCTTATTACCTTTACTAAGATTTTCGCAAAATGAACATTTAGAGATGCCCCGAAAATCACAAATTTTTATCTACATTTCAAATTAGATGACGTGTATTCGTTTGCATTTCAAACGCACGCACACACACCAAGTTATTGAAAAATTGCTCAATTTAACTCAGCAATTTATCAGACAATGGCGACAAAAGCCTCTACGATTAACGACAATAAAGTTATGCAACTGCGGTCTTGAACATTAATCTTCTCGATTATCTCACCAACAGCATAAACAGAACCACATTAAGTGAATTATACCAAGTTGGTTGCACATCTTAAATGATTCAGTTGAGGGGTGCGTGATAGACTTACCTCCACGTGGTGCACCCTGGGCAACGTATACTCATACAGCAAAAAAGTCTATTAATCGGCAGTTAACTTCCGACTTCAAAACACCATCACCTCACTGTATGTCATATTCGACTACTTCCACAGTACTCACCTCACCTTTTCCACTCTACCTTTGTGTCTGTCTCTTTTACATCTTTGAAATACCCTTCTGTTCTCCCCCTCTCGACTTTTTTTCGCTTTGATATTCCTTCTCTGTGAAGCCTGAAGTCAACTAAAGGGCTTATGATAACTATCAAAATGCCTGCCATTTGATATAAATAAAAAAATTAATGATTCGGTTGAATGGAATTGTGACATTCTTCTCATGAAATCTCCAATTCCACAATTCCGAAAGCAGGGAATAGTCGGCTGTGGACTTCCCAAATAACGCAACCTCTGCCTAACCAAAACACACGCCGTTTAGCCCACATTCAACTCCACTTAAGTCTATTTAATTTCTAAATAAAACAAGCTCTTCAATTCCCCCCCCCACCCTACGTCATTGTGACGGAGATTAATTACCTATTAAGAGAGTGGGTACACAGAAGAAACAGAAGTAAAGTTGCATCATCTATTCAAACACCTGAAATACTCTTAGGAGTGGATACACACACACACACACACACACACACACACACACACACACACACACACACACACACACACACGAAGAAAAAGTTGCTAATACGCCAATAAATTAGAAAATGGCCAATTAGCAATTCGTTTAAATTTTTATTGTGATTGATATAAGCTTAAGTTTGCTGTAATATAAATAAAGCAGTGCATTTTGGGGTTGCAAATAGAGGCAAAAAGATGCGCCTTTGAAAAGATTACCAGAATGGGATTAGAGTATTGACCCAAATTATCTTAAACAAAAAAAAACGATGAGATATGATTTAAACTTTAATTCTAAAGAATTCTCCAATGTGCTGGAATGAAATGCACAAATTTTTACATATTGTGATCAATTCCTTCATACATATATATATATATATATATATATATATGAGAAAAAAATTAGTATATGCACTAACAAAATTACTTCATACTTTAGAGAAGAAATACAAAATGAGTTGGCAGCTCAATGGCGTTTCAGTCAGCACACGCTATCGTCAAGTCATAACAAGTCTACAACATTGCCATTTCAGGGACATTAAGCTCTTACAATTTACAAGCAAGCCACTCATCGTTCTAATCAATGCGCAGACAAACACTGATGTCAACAAAATGGCGAGTCATTTGTGTTCACTAATGTCAGTAGAATAATACATAACTAACATATAGGCAACTCGTATTCAAACGTAAAGCGCTGGAAGAACTACATTCAGGCTCTTTCTTCTCTGATTCGACGGTGGCTTAGAGACATCTGATGAGCAAAGAAATCATAGCAGGAGAAACTGGAGTTTCTAGTGTCGTAACAGCATGGAAGAACTTCCATTCATAATAAGGAACCTGTTGTGATCAGACTGCAAAAATTAGAAAAGGACTCACTTTAACATTTAGAAAATCAGTTTGTCTGTATAGAATTACATGAAAGAGTACCAATTCAGTAGCTCTTTAAAAAATAAAAATGCATCAGTTCTGGTCTCGCTTATTGAGGTGGCACAAACCAATAAATCAGAGTAAGAAGACTATGGTTTGCCGACAGCTTTGAAATCATGATTCTATGCAAATTAAGCCCTAAGACAAATTTGGAAAAGAAAAAGAATAAAAAAGCAAACCCTCACTTGAATACGGTAATTGTTTGACTAATTCAATCTAACCAAAATTACCAACAAAATAATCTACGATCAGGTTAATCAATACATCAATTAATAGAGCTCACCTTTCGAGAGTTTTAATACCATTTTGTAGTTTCTGAACAAATTCATGATACCGTTGTCCAGGTAAGATGCTCGAACCGCCTAATTGGTAGCGGATAGGGATGCATTGACGAATTCCTGTCACATCGTTGATAGATGAATCAGTAGAAGTCACTACCCTTGCTCGCATAAGTTGTTCCAAACGTCGTATTTTCGTATCTAAGTTCTCACCGACCTTCGTGTTGTTCACAAGAGATGCAGACAAACCCAATACCTGCAACAACCATTAACAATCATGATAAACCGATTCCATATAGAATAAGAACCTTAGGACCACGAGAATAATCAGGAAGCCATCTCCCACGTGGAAATGAGTGAAGATGTTGACATATGTCTGTGTAATCTGACTTTGAATCTGGATCCGCATGGTGGCATTCATCAAAAATTAAGAGGCAAATATTCCGAAGACTGAGTTTTCCATGATTCAAAATATCACGCAGTACTCCAGCCGTCATTACCAACACACGATGTTTTTCTAACTGGCCTTGCCAGACACTCTAGAGAGGAGGTGGTTAAAATTATTACAATTGGAGATACCTTGGTCCACTCATCGATCCACACAGTTGGAGAAACCTGTCCATGAAAAATACCTATATCATTGGGATTTAAAGGCAACTGGGAACGCAAAAACTCTGCCTGTTGATAGACCAAATGAACTAAAGCAACTAATACACGATAGAAACCAGAATTACCTGTTTTAACAACAAATAAGACTCGTCTTCCACCTTCAGAAACTGATTTAAACGTTTCTGGAAGATGGTGTTTAATGACCATGACGGCGATAAAGGTTTTACCAAGACCTGTGTTCAATTTCGCTATAATGCTCTCTTTCTGTGCAATTTTCGCGATTTCTACTTGATATGGTCGTGCCTGTAGAGCATGCCTAGGTTTTTTTGCCGCGATTTCAACCCTTCTCATGTTGATTCTTCGCTTAATTGATCTCGCTGAAAAAGCATAATGAAATTTTAAAATTGTTTTGTTAAATTTTAAGCAAACAAACACGAAAAATGTTGATTAACAACTACACAGCTTGAGTAAATTTCAAAAAATAAGCAGAATGCCAGATACAAACACCCGCTGATTTGATTATATATCGATTCGAGCCAAGGTCGTGCTCATTTAAGTTATAAATCAGAACAAGTGATACGAATTAGACCGCACTGATTGACTCAACCTTCGTTAAATATGTTTTTTAACCGAACAAAATTTTTCTATTTAAAAAGGGCTTCTTTTCTGTAAATAGCATTTTGCATAATGGTTAAAATTTAATTATAATGAAAGCATATACCCAAGGAGAAAAGATTTATTCAATAACTTATAAGCATTCATGGATATATTTAAATTATTTTTTTATATTTACTGAGAAAAATGGAGGTCCATAGGCATACGAATTCTGGAATTTGACAGTGAAATGATAGCACATATGTTCTTCAAATGAATCATAATTAATTAAATGGGTTAATAATTTTCATCAACCAAAATCGGTATTATGAATGAGATATTCTAAGATTCTTAAGAAAAAATATTGAGCGCTTTTAAATAATCTTTTGTTTACACGATTATCGATTTTAAAATATAAATTGAAATATTTATAAATATAATATGTATAAGTAAATATTTTCGATTTCATTTCAACTATATCAAAACCTTGGGAATGTCATCGCAATTAATCATGAGAGTTTCAAAGTCCTGAATAATGTAAGGGAATCCACACTTTATACAATTGAATATTTTCATTCATAATCAAATTCTCAAATGTTCATTTATTTATAACAAATGGAAGGCGTTTTGATAGTTATCATTAGCCCTTTATTTGACTTCAGGCTTCACAGATTGGAGGAGGGTGAATTCTTCACAGATTGGAGGAGGGACATCAAAGTGAGAAGAATTCAGGAGGGGGAATAGAAGGGTGTTTCAAAGATGTAAAAGAAAGACACAAAGGTTCAGAAAGGGTAAGATGAGTAGTGATAGGGGTCGAATAGGTCATACAGTGGGGGTGATGTTTGTTTGAAGTGAAAAGTCAACTGCCGATTAATAGACCTTTTTGCCGCATGGGTATACGTTGCCCAGGGTGCATCACGTAGAGGTAAGTCTATCGTATACCCCAATTCTCAAATGTAATATTTGGGAAAATATATAATATAATAAGTCATGGTATGTTATATAGCTTTTGATAAAATTATTTTAAATAGTTTTAAAATTTCCAAAAAATGTCAGATTTAACTTTTTTGAATTAAGAACTTTTGGCATATAAAGAATTTATATTGGTTTAAGGTCATCCACTGCTGGCAGACTTCTCTTGCGATTTCACCTCTTCCCTCCATAAGGTGAATAGAATAGAATTTTTAATTCGAAATTATACTTTTCTAAACGTTATTCTGATGATAAATCACCGTTTTTTGTCTTTACTACATCGTGTCGTCATTTTCCCTCTTTTGCACTATTTCAAAACTGTCAAAAATAGACTCTAACTTTATCTATAGGGTCAATTTATTCATTAAACTTTGCAATCACACAATTAATAGTATTTTTGACTATCTTAATACTATAAAGCCTGACTTTTGTGAATACTTGTGTCTAATTTGTTCGTGCGAATACACTCTGTTTTTATAGGTTTCATGTTAGAGGAATCTAAAGTTAATCCTACTGCCATCGATTCGGAAACGGTGGTATTACCATCTGTTAAGGAATCTTTTTCTTCTCTTCCCTCATCCGGAGAAGTTAGAGCCCGCATCGCAGCCGTTAGGAAAGTGATTGTAAATTATGAAACCTATATTGCATATCAGATAGTGACCCTTGTAAGTTTACATTTTTGGACATTATTGAATTATCTTTATTATGTAAACGATCAATTTAGGCCAATCGCGGAGATTATCCCTCGGGGATTTGTGTAGTCGAGCGACGATATCGTGAATTCGACTGGCTCTATAGTCGCTTTCTTTCAATTTATGCCGTCCTTTTCGTTCCTGTAAATTCTTTTTCTCCTAAATTAATTCCTATTCTTCACTCTAGCCTCTTCCTGGCAAGAAAGTTCTCTCTCAATTCAATCGATATGACTCCAGTTTTGTCGACAGACGATGTAGCGGCCTTCAAACATTCCTTCATAAATCTGCCTCTCATCGTATTCTCTCCTCAAATCCTGATTTCATCGCCTTTCTAACTCTTTCGAACAATGTAAGTAATTTGATGGTATCTGTTCTGTGAAATATTGAACAATTTTTTAGACAATCATTTATCTTTAATTCGATGATATTTAAGGTGGTTTTTTTGCGAAAGGGAGGGGGGTGTGTGTGCCGGGGGGGGGGGGGGGGGGGGTTGGGATCTATTTTGAAATTTATAAAAGTTTTGTTATTTAGTTTAACTGAAATTAATCAACAATAACAACAACGTTTCAATTTCTTTCATGTTTATTTTTGAAAACTCAGTTGCGGTCTTTGATGTTGTAATGGCTCTTGTACAAGTAAAGCTCTTTAGAATTCTATTAACTCAACCAATAGTTTTAGCAGTGGGTTCTTTAATTATGGCCTGATTCCACCTGAAGAAATCCATAAATCCCCAGTCCCTGTGCATACATTTTCAAAGTCAAATGCATCGGAAATCTCAGATTAATCTTTCTAATGTTTTTTATTGTAAAAAGTTATTCTCAATGAAAATTTTTCTTATTTTCTGGGTTGTGAAAGGTAATAGAGTAATTATTTAAGTCAAAGTCTCGATAATCACCCTTATTTGTCCCATTTTTTCTTGTTTAGGATTTTCAGAGGTACAAGCAAAGATATCCGACTGAGAGCTCTCTGATTTCTTCCCTCATTGGGTATTCGCCCCAAGTCCTCTCGAGTGACGCCTATATTGGGACAGCAGATATCTCTGAACAACAAGTAGTTGATGCCATAACTACAACCCTGCCTTCGAATTCGCCACCTCAATCATCCAACCCTGTTATCATACCATCCACAAGGGAAGTGTCAAGCCCACAGCATCTGCGTCAGGCTTCTGAGAAGTTTTCTTGCTATCAAATTGAGGTCAGAGTTTGGTTCATCATAATCAAGTTATCCTTAATTAAACCCTTTGCAAGAATTTTTTCCCATTTGTGGTATTGCGTATTTTGAAAGGCAGCTGGTATTATCTCTTTCAGAGATTCCTTGTTCTATAGAAGTCTTTTGGACTTGCTTTGTTTGGGTAATTTCCGTTGGTCTGTTTAAATCTACGTTGATTTAGCTGGAATTTTTTCGCATTTAGCAAATGTTTGGGCAAAATATCTTGCCACTGTGTCCGAGCTAATGGACCTACCGTGCTATTATTGTTTTTGTCTACTCAAGCCCAAAATAATCGTCAGACTGTCAGCTATTCCTCATTATTGATTTTTTTGTGTCGTGGTTATTATGATATTAATGCATGATTTAAATTGCTACAGAAAAATTTGTTCGCCGATCAACTTTTACTTGACTTGGTCGTCTATTGTTTCCCGGGTATCAGTTGTAGTATTACTATGGCTACAAATGAGTAAATTGGAAGAACTCAAGGTTGATGCTTTTGTAACCTCTTAGTTGCCCACATTTGTAAAATATGACTCCTCTATGCTATCTAGTTATGTTTGTGTCACCAGACTACATATGACCCTGACAAAGGGGATAGGTTAGGGTAGGAATACAAATTGCCGGCTTCATGTCATAGATGTTGGGAGATCAAAAACACTACCGGATTAAAACAGTCTTTATATTGATTAGCAGTGAAGCTATTGTGATGATGTGCAAGACTTTTTAATATCGTAAAAAAACGCGGCTCGGTCTCTAATTTTTTTGCAGGCAATGGAGTATACAGCTCTTTGCCAAAGTCTGTCCTCTCTTTTGGATCGAATGACCACCCAGCTGGCCACGCTATCTTACGATCATGCCGAGTTGGCCAAAACTCTCGAGCAGGCTGGACAGTCGACAGTTGTCGCAGCATCGGCATCAACCACCAACTCGGAAGACGGTTGGGCATCATCGCTAGTGGGCTCGGCTATGCGTCGAACAGCTCAAGCCACTCATGCTCTCGCTTCGAGACTGTCTGATGATTCAGCTCGTCCGTGGCACGAGAACGCGGCTTTCGGTGAAGCTGTTAAGAGAGTACTGAAGAATAGGCAGACAATTCAAGTAAGTATTCGTGAAATGAATCTTCTTATTTCACATTTCTATGGCGCTGAGCTACTCTCCTTAACTTGCTTTCTGAAGTTTTCAACTATTTAAATTCGTTTGGATTGCTATTTCCTTAGATAGTATTTATCGACTGGGTATTTGATTTTGGCCCTACTATTCAGCAGGCTGTATGTCTTACATTTTCTTCCAACGTTCAATACTGCAACAGGGTAGGTAGATTAGGCAGTTACAACCAACAAGTCTGTTAGTAGCTGTCTTTGAGTAGGTTGACCAGGAGAGGGGGGGGGGGTTGATGCCGTGATTGCATCGGTTCTTTTTTGTACGCGTTGATGAGGTAGCCAGGGTCGTGAGCCAATTATGATCTTAAACCCAAAGAAGAACTGCTTGATCACACGCAATGCCCTCAAATGTGTGCATCCGCTTGCATACTTAGAGGAGTCATTCTTTGACTCAATTTAGTTAGATTGCATTACATTATTACGCAGACTAGTCAATTTTTGAGTGAAATAAGGCTTACCAGGCCAAATGAAATTAAACTTCAGTTGATGCACCATGTCGATTTCGAAATTTTTTAGGTCAGTGGTGGAATCAAAATTAGGCTAAAGTATTCGTTGGAAATGATTTATGAAATTGGAAACAAATTATTAACTAACATGAATGGGGTGGAGATTTGAATAAGATTGAAATTGCGTGTTGAGATATTTATATCCAAGTCACATAAAGGTTGGGAGGGGGGGGGGGACAGAAGAGTATTTCAAAGGTGTAAAAGAGACAGACACAGGAAAGGTAGGGTGAGATGAGTACGGTGAAAGTGGTGGAATATGACATACGGTGGGGTGATGGTAGTTTGAAGTCAGAAGTCAACTGCTGTTTGATGGACCTTTTTGCCGTATGAGTATGCGTTTTCACGAGGAGGTAAGTCTATCGCACACCCCGCGTGTTGAAATATGCACGGTAAGATTTAAGGGACTAAGTGATATCAGTCATCAGCTGGTTTTCATAAATGATTTCTTGTGGTTTCTTGTCATAGTTAATTGGAAACCTATTGTCCTATTCAAATAGCATTTTAAGTACAAATATCGTATGCAACAATTTTTAATTTCCTTGAGAATGTACGAATCGAGTGCACCTGCGCCTTTGACCCAATCGTCTGTCAAATTAGAGGTTATGAGTTCCAGTGATTGAGGAGAAATGGGTCACGGGAATGCATTCTTACCTTTGTTTCAGACAGAGCATCGTTGAATGTGGAATGGATGCAAATAGATTATCACACTAGCGACCCTAAACTGCCACAATTCACGCCTTTTCGAGTGGTAGAGTGGTACTTATTAAGCCCAGTTATGCCTTCCTACACATGATTTGAGTCATATTGTTCTCCTTAATATTTTTATAACTTGGCTGGCATTACTCCTCGTTGTAGGATATCTACTTCAGTCTCGATCAGGAGGTTAAAGAACGCCGGCGACTCGAAGGCGATGGGAGTGAGGATGTGGTGTTTCAGCATCCCCAAGCACCGGCTTCCACAGACACTACTGCTGTTTTGACCAGCGATACGCAAGTGAACTCCACTTCTTATAAATGGCTAGCCCGTTTCGCATCTATGCCTTGGCGTAGCAATTCGAAGAGGCGAAAGAACATTCCAATAAGTGAAGTAAGTCCTTGACAGCACTGATTGGTCAGTTAGAGGGAGTCGGCCTTTCTATTGGTTTCAGCGGCATATTTGTTTACTTGGCTTTGCTTTGGGTTGATGTTATCTAACCAATGGGATGGTAAAGGTAAAATACATTTACTAATATTGCAAAAATTGTTTTGTTTCTGAAAATTCATGGCCATGCTCGTGTGCTTTGAGGAAATTACACTTGTGATAGCTAGATCCTTCAAGGATCGCTCAGTCAAGACTCTGGTGGTCTACTTATAGTTAATTGCTCCTTTAGTTGTCGAGTTTCACTCTTTTTGGCAACCTGAGCTGACTTAGATGTAGATATGGAGCATTTTAGTTCCTGTAGTTATTCTTTACACGAACGGGATCGAGAGTGGATTGTTTTCTTCATTTATGCAAGTTTTACTCCCCCCCTCCCCCT